CCACACCATCTTCCGGTACCTGTCCCCCCACATCAGCATTCATGTCGCGGGACTAGAGACGTCCCGTGACCTCTGGAATGAACTTGAAGAACGGTACCGGCGAATGGAACTCGCCACCTTCTGCGAACTGTTTGCTCAACTTCGCGAGACAACCGGCGAACGATGCGCCAGTGCACGTGATTTTGTTGATCGCGTACGGCTGCTCGTACATCGATTGAATGCCATCGCTCCAGGATCAATCGGTGACAAGACTCATATTGCGAGACTGCTCACGCAGATCGGACCGGAATACATCCTGGTTGTGGATGCGATCCAGAATGACAAGGATCCGGTCAACCCGACCACGATCGGAAATCGGCTGTCCAACGCCGAGCAGACGGTCCGACGAAAGGAGTCTCCCGCGCCCCCGCAGGGAGTTCCAGGACCGTCAATCAATGCAGTGCAGAGAAATCCCAAGAAATGTACCTACTGCAGGAAGCGCGGCCATGTGGTCGCGGAGTGCTGGAAGAAACAGCGCGAAATACACCCGCCTAGGGACCATGCCCTGAAGGCTGAACGGAGTGCTTCCGGCTCACCACAAACAACATGCAAAATATACCGTCAAGCCAGAGAGAAGATCGGCAGGGCCCGCCGACTTCCAAGAGACCGAGGATCAATATCGTGAGCGCGAGGGTGACGACTCTCTATACCCACGCACCGCAACCCCGGTGGATCCTGGACTCGGCCGCCACCAGCCACATCTGCTGGGACCGGAGCTGCTTCAGCAGTCTGCGACCCCACCGCGAGATGCTGGACACGGCGGGCGATCCAGTAGAAGCCGAAGGGATTGGTACGGTGAAGCTCACGCTCCGGGGGAAGTTCAACCAACCCCTGGTGTTAAAGAATGTATACTTCGCGCCACGCGTCGGGATGAACCTGATCAGCGTGCCGAAGCTGTTGCGAGACCGCTACTCGGTGGTGGCGCACCCGCAGAACGTCTTTGTGCAACGCCGAGGACGGACCGTGGGGACTGCCTACCATGCGGAGGAGGATCTGTTGATCCTGCGGTGCCATGTGAGCAAAAGATCCCGAGAGCGAGTCCAACTGGCGAGGGCGCCGACGACCTGTGGCCATGCAGATTCCCTGGAACCGCAGGCGGTGGCCATGGACGTCGACGACCCTCAGGAGTCAAGTGACGCAGAATGCGCAACGTCAACCTCTGAACTCGGTGGTGAAGCTGTGATACTCGAAGAAGATGCATGCAAAGGAGTGGACCAGGCATCCGAAGCGATGTGGCACGCTCGGATGGGACATCTGAACCGGGGAGACTTGAGGGTGGTCCTCCGGCAGACCGGCACTCCGTACCGACCGCTAATGCAGGCGCAGCTGCTGGCAACGCCGCAGTGCCCAGCGTGTATGTCGGGTAAGCAGCATCAGAAGAGGAACTCCCGTGCAAGACGGCCACGTCTGCATTCAACGAGAATCTTTGAAATGATCCATTCGGACATCATGGAGATGCCGATCGCCAAAGATGGCTCCAGGTACGTGATCACCTTTACTGACGATTATTCTCGTGGCTCGTGGGCATATGCCATGAGATGGAAGCATGAAGCGCTCCAGAAGTTCCGACAATTTGAGGCCTGGGTGCACCGACAGTTCGGCGCCCAGATCAAGAGATTCCTCACCGACAATGGGAGAGAATACCTGCCGATCGGAACACACCTCGAGACCCAGGGAGTTGAGTTTGACACCTCGCCGCCATACTGCAAAGGGCAGAATGGTCTGGCCGAACGCACGAATCGCACTATCCGGGAGCGGATCAACACGCTCCTGTCTGATGCGAACCTTCCTCCTTCCTGGTGGACCGAGCTTGTGGACACGGTGGTCTATCTGAAGTTGCGCGCGCCAGCATCAATTTTGCAGAAGAAGACCCCGTACGAAATCATTTACGGGAAGCCGCCCTCGCTGTTGCATCTGCGACGGATTGGCTCCTGCGCATGGATGTTGATTCCCAAAGAGCATCGAGCAAAGCTCGGACCCAGGTCGTCCGAGTGCCGATTGCTAGGTTACTGTGAGCCGATCCAGTACAAACTGTATGAGATCCATTCCGGAAAGACCGTCTTTTCCCGTGATGTCGAGTTCGATGAGAGGACCCCTGTGGCGCCACTCATCGAGGGGGAATCAGGCAACGACCTCCCGGACAACGCTCCTCCATCATCGGTCTTTCCGTCAGTACCTTCCTTGGCTAATGGGCTGCCGACACCACCGGTATCGCCTTTGCCCTTTTCATCCGAGCAAGAGAAAACGCCGTCTCAGCATGGGGAGGAAATACCTCCACCGGTCAATCCAATTGAACAAGAAGCAGAGTCCACACAGGACCTCGGCTATTCCGTCTATGGCCGCAGAAGACGACCTTCACGGCGTCTTCTAGAGTCATTAGGCAAGGTATACTCGACAGGCACATTGAATCCCGCACCGGCCAGGCAAGTCGCCCCGGTGGCCTTTCGGGAAGCTGTGTCGGGTTCAGATCAGCTGGAATGGTGGGCTGACATCCAGAAAGAATATGCGTCGCTTCTCGAACACGGAACATGGGAAAAGGTTCGACGAGAGGACGTTCCCGCCGGAGATCATGTGATTGGCTGCAAATGGGTCTTCAAGACTAAAGTCAACGGAACGCGCAAAGCGCGATTGGTGATCAAAGGATATCGGCAGAAACATGGCATCGACTATCACGAAACGTTTGCTGCTGTGTCACGAATGGACTCGGTCCGCTGCATCATTGCCAGCGCCGCATTACGCGGATGGAAGCTTCACCAATTCGACGCCGTCACGGCGTTCTTACACGGTGACGTGGACTCTTCCATCTACATGGAGTTGCCCGAAGGATTCGAAGAGCCAGGCTACGTATGCCGGCTTCGCCGCTCTTTGTATGGACTCAAACAGGCCCCGCGGATTTGGTACCAATGCGTCCACCGCGTGCTGGCCGCCCATGGCTTCACCATGGCAGAATCGGACAACTGCGTGTTCTACAAATCCGATTGCGTGGTCTGTGTCTATGTCGATGACTTTCTCATTACGGCAGCCAATTCGCACGAAATCAAACAAGTGCAACAATCATTGGAGAAGGAGTTTCAATTGAACGACCTTGGAACTCCGCGTTCATTCCTCGGAATCCAATTCGACTACCATGCCGACGGAGCCGTTTCCATTCACCAACAACAGTACATCCAAAAGGTTCTTTCCGACTTTGGCATGGAAACCTGCTAGGCGAAATCTACCCCTATGAATCCCAAGCAAGACTTGAATCGCCGTCCAGACGAAGAACCTCCGGATGAGGAAACTAAAGCACGATACGCAACCGCCATCGGTTCGTTGATGTATCTGATGGTTGGAACGCGACCGGACATCGCGTTTGCGCTGGGCACGTTGAGTCGCTTCACGTCTCAGCCGCAATCGCACCACCAGGTCGCCCTGCAGCGATTGCTTCGCTATGTCAAAGCCACACAATACCATCGCATCACATACCGCAGCGGACAATTGATTGGATACACGGATGCCGACTTTGGCGGCTCTGTCGTCACTGATGGAGCCTACTCGACGTCCGGGTACGTATTCCAACTTGCGGGTGCGCCGGTCTCCTGGTCGTCCAAGAGACAGGGGGAAGTAGCCACGTCTACAACTCATGCCGAATACATCGGGCAATACAATGCCATTCTGCATTTGCAATGGCTCCGCACTTTTTCTGGCCGAAACGCAACTGTATCGGTCTCCAGTCACCAACATCATGGCTGACAACCAGTCTGCCATCGCGCTACCTCCCAATCCCGAATTCCATACACGGACGAGGGACTTAAATGTGAAATTCCATTACCAGCGAGCAGTGCTCAATGCTGGCGAGATTGGTCTTCAGTATGTTCCTACTGAGGAACAGGCCGCTGATGGTCTCACTAAGGCGCTGGGACCCTCCGCCTTTGCCAATTTTGGCAGTCTCCTAGGCTTCAAAACCTTGGAGACTCGGAGGCAACAAACGTAACATCGCGGGCGCTCTTCCCACTTTATTTTCCCACGAAGGTTTCGAGTGGTTTTGAGTGGTTTTGCCGAGTCTTGCCTACACAGGATTGACCCAGTATTGCCCTGCCAGCAAAGCGATCCTGAGGGGGGGGGATGTTGTGATATGAGCTAGTGACGATCAGTTGATTTCCAATCAACTTGGCTCATTTTTGTATATATAGGCTCATGTATTCCTCTGAAACAACAAGTCAACCATACCCCTCTGAACAATAGCATGCATGCTCATGGCACTGGGGATACCAGACATGGGCAGACTTCTTAAAGCACCCTGCCAGTAGGTTGAATGCAGCTCAGGTATGCGAAGAATTTGGACGTCGGTTGGTTGTTTTGCCTCAATTAGGAAGGACTGTCTGGGCCAATCAAAGCATCGGTTGCCCGTCATGAAGCTGTATATACACTCTCATCAAGGGTGCTGATCTGCACCAGCTTTATGCCAAAGCACTTATAGAACCTACCATGTCTGGTTCAACAGCACCCTCTCTTGATTTCTCATGTGAGTAAACGGATGGCCTAAATAGATCTCCAGGCCAGGAAAAAGGAGACCAAAAGCCTAGTGAGTTGCCGATCCTTTGTGAAAAAGGCAATGGTGATGATTTTATTTGCCCGATGTAGCTCGGTTCAAATTTACAATGCTGTACAAGACGGTGAACTAACTACATATACATATAATGCCTAAATATCACTTTGTACCTTCTTGCTGTGTCCTACACTGATCTATGGGTTCTGATAATCTTTGTACTAATTTGGCGTGTAAGCGGGTCTCTAATTTTCTAAGTTCGGCCATCTGTCGTCTATAGTCCCCCTTTCTTGTTGTAAAATCATTTCTACGCGAGTCTTTAGCTGGAGGTTGTTAGAGAAAAGGCAGTGACTATGTTAACTCATGCCCAACCCTCGCCAAGATTAGGTACAAAGAAATATGCCAGAAGCCCAGGAATTTGAGTCAGCAGGCGTCACCGCGTCAATTTGTTCGCGATCAAATGTTTTATCTTCTGGACAATCTCGTCCGTTCCGTACGGCTTATGTATGATATCATCCATTCCAGCGTCCAGCATTTCGCTTTGCTGTGCCTCTCTGACATTCGCTGTCACACCTAGGACAGGAATGTGTGCCTCAAATTTCTTCTCACGATCGCGAATTGCCCTTGTCGCCGAGTTGCCATCCATTAAAGGCATCTCTTGGTCCATAAGTATGCAGTCAAATGTAACGTGTTCGACATAATCCAAAGCTTCTTGGCCGTTTTCCGCTTCTGAAACGCAGAACCCTGAAGCTTTCAACTTGCGCGAAATGATTCGCCTGTTGATGGCATTGTCTTCGACCAAAAGGATATGTCGACTTGGGGTTCCCTCATCACGACCAGCCGACGGTATTTGTTGGTTGTTTGCAGTACATGCTTCGGTGGCCTGGCGAGCCATTTCGGTTGTGTGATCCGTTCTCTCATCGTTTGTGTTGTCTGGGTTCACCTCTTCGACGCGAGTCATAACGGGGTTTTCTAAGACCTCGGGTCCTCTAGCTAATGGACCAGAACCGGTCACTTCCTTCCCCAGCGCTTGAATGTTGTTACATAATTTATCGACTTCAGTGCCATGATATCTGCCAGACACGTCATCGCGTGCCTCAAAACTTCGACGCACTTTGAAAAAGAAGCCAAATGTGCTTCCCTGTCCTTCCTTGGAGCTCACGCCAATTTCTCCTCCATGTAGGTGGCACAGCTTTCTGCTGACATTGAGACCAAGACCAGAACCACCATATTTGCTCTCTGTCCTGGGAGTTGCTTGGCTAAAACGTTGAAACAGCCGCCTCTGGGCCTCGTCTGAGATCCCAATGCCCGTGTCGTGCACGGCGATCATGATGTACACTGCTTGGCCCTCTCCCCAATCTTTAGTGTTGGTCGCATCCAAACGCAATGCGGCCTCATCTGAGTCAAAAAAGACGACATTCGGTGGGTAGGATGATGGTCGCCCTACCGAAGCTCCCATTGAAACTCGAACAATGCGCTCATTCTCCGAGTTAGCGGTGAATTTAATGGCATTTGAAAGAAGATTGATGGGAACCTGGCTTATCCGATCAAGATCCGCCATGACCCAATCAATTTCACATTCACCATAAGAAAGATCGAGTTTGTACTCGAAATGGATGCTTTGCTTCCGAAGCTCGGGGCGAAATATGGCCAGTGGGGCTGCAAAATGCCGTTTTGGCTGGCGCCTTCGCGGTGACAGCGCCAACATGGATGCGTCAAGCTTGGAAAACGTAAGAACAACGTTTACTATTTTCTCTTGATGCGCAACACAGAGGCTAATGGTCTCTGCTGCTTCGGTGATATCGGATACTAAGGTCTTTTTTTCTTCCTGGCCGCGAACCGCTTCGAGAATATCCTCAGTGCAATGCAAGATCGCAGAGAGAGGGTTTCGAATTTCGTGACTGATCATGTCAATAAAGCGTTCTTGTTGCTGCTTGCGTTCCTGCGCTTCATGTGCGATGTCTTTCTGACTGCTCAGCCTGCTTTTCTGCGGTGATATCCGTGACTGTGCAAATAAAGCCGCCTTCGTCGCTTAGCTCGAATTGCCGTAGGTCTGAGTCACTCAGGGAACTCAACGTCATTACGCGCCACAGGTGGTCAGGATCGCGGGTGCGATAATCGATGCACAGGGTTTTTTTGGAAGCCGTAGTCTCATGATATGCGTTGGCCACCCGATCAACGTCGTCTAAGTGAATTGATCGCAACCAGCATTCAGAGAATTTCACGCCAGAAATGTTTATCAGCGCTCGTAAATGGCAGTTGACAGATATCAATTCATTTTTGTCGTTGATGATGGCGATACCAATAGGTAAAACGTCGGCCAGTTGTTGTGCGGAGATAATTCCAGCGAAAGCGAAAGCCATATTGTTTCGACTGATGCTCCGATGACGCTTTCCCGGTTCGTGAAGACCGAATCCTGTTTCTTGATTGAAATGTTGAACCGGCGAAAGAGAGAGCAATCCCGGAGATGACTTGCATGTCTGTCAGTAGCAGAAGGATGTTGCAGTTTGCAAATTCTTTTTGGATGTCTTTATTGGACTACGTCATCATCGGAAGGCGGTGCGAGGGGAGCCAACAGACTTGATGAGTAACCAAAGATCAGTGCCCTTCTCTAATTGGTTTGTAATGATGGAGTGTGATTGGCTTCCAGATATGGGGCGAAAACAGTCGATGGGTGCTCAAAAATATTTTCAGAACGGCTTTTCCTCATATCATCAGTACCGTTGATGGACATCGAAATCTTAGTCGTAGACCAGCACCGGCATAGTGCCAAGCTAGCCTGTCGACAGTTTCAACAATGTTTCTAAGCGCCCATTGCAACGCCATCTTAATAGGTGGTATATTGGAGAGGGCGCATGGTTCTTTGCCATCGAGTGACCCTCACGGCGAAAAAAAAACTTAAAAAACTTTTGTACCGCCCTCTACTCACAATATCTAGATTTCCACAAACGGCGACAGTACATGTGTGAATAGGGTAAGTAAAGAGCGACGAAAATTGATGTTCGAATTCAGACTATCTAATAACAATAGTGGGAGCGGGGATGGAGAACATCTAGCAAAGGCGATCATCTGCGAAAGATCGACGATACTCTACCGGCGAGGCATACCAGGAAGCTGTCCGGAAGCCTGCCCAGGGGCGGGCGTACCTGCTGATGGAACTACGCACGGACCACAACTGGTTACCCACCTACCGCAAGCACGTTAGCTACAGTGAAGACGATCAATGCGCGTGTGGCGCACAAGAAACATCATCCACGTATTGGTGGACTGTCTAACCTCGAGGGTGCTTCGAAGGGAGTTAAGGAAAGGAGTCGGGGACGCGTTCAATAGCGTGTCGAGTCTACTGGGAGGCTCAAACAAGGGGAGAAGGTAAACAGACATCGTCTCGCGGACCATGACGGTTTAGGCCGTGCTGGACTTCGCCGAGGCGTCACAACGGATTCGCAGTCGCGCGCCACGAGGGCAGCCTATTAATGGGAGCGGCATTTAGGTCACGGCAGGCCTTGACGAGGCCCTAAGCTCATTTTCAGGAAGTGGGTCAATCTACATGTGTTGAGAATTGTCCTTAGTTCTATTCTCGTGAAATTCAATTCCTGAAGTGCATCGCAAAACTCCATAATTCTGACCTAGTTGTTGTCCCACGTGGATAAGCCAATAGGAATCGCCTCACGTTCCGATCACCCCTGATCGGCAGAGGTTTCTATGCCGTAGGCATAGTAAACCGGGTCCCAAGCATATTTAAAGAGCTTGCCTTCCAGGTTTTACCTGGATTAGACAAATTCACTTATTTTATTCTCACCCACACTTTTCCGTTCAGTAGATCAGGATAGCTCCTTCATGCTGCATTCTTCTAGCCTGCTAGTCTAATTCAACACAGTCCAGCTGTAACAGTGCTTCGAAGCCATGTTAAAATTAACCGGTCTCCGCCAATTTGCCCTTCCACTACCTAGGTTTGATAATTACTCTGCGGAATCAATAGCAGTGCACTAAATATATCAACCATAATCAGCTTCCCAGTGTGCTTACATTGTTCGGAGGATTTAGCCTTACATCTCCAGTACCCTTAGGGCAGCAAGCAATGATGTTCTTACAAACAGGTCCGGTCTCGAAGTCCTTGGTGGAAGCTATAAAACGTTAGAAAAAGGCCAATTCGTGGTCATCACAACATGTTAGAGCATTCATGCCGAGGACATTAAAATCGCCGAGTAGGCTAGTCTTAGCACATGCGGAATCATCGTTGCCAAGAAGACCGTTAAGACCACCCTTAGCGAGAAGGTTACCCAGAACACCGTCACCAGACAGGATTTCCTTCGAGTCACAGCAGGCAATGTCACCAGTAGTACATTGGTCTTTGGCAGTCGCCGTAGTCATCTTGGTTGACTGCAGAGCAGAAATGGACATGGCAAGAGCAAGGAAAGTGGTGGCAGTAGTGAATCTCATGATGATGATTTGGATTGTTGTGCGGATTTGTAGAATTATTAAAGTAGAGATTGATGGGAGTCTATGGTTGGGCGAGGCGAGCTTTCTTTTATAGGCTGGTTCTTGAACCTTAATGTTCGTTTACGTGACGTGGATGGTTTCGTTTACTGGAAACAATATACGCTATAACTCCTTTTCTTCCGGAGGAGCTCTTGCCAAGGTCTCTCTGAAATGTTCAATTTAAGAATCTGGTATGTCAAATACAACCATACACCACTACTCGTATTTCTTACACTTGATTATCTGACCTATTCTTTGCATCGGCCCAGGGCCAATGCGCACAATGTGCTTGTCTAAGGCACTCAATGGATCTATCAATAAATAGGTTAATCAATAGCTAAGTCGAATATGTATTAGGATGTTTCGGGTAAGTGCCGAGGATCCCTCGTGGCCCAGTGAGAGATCTCAGCGAGGGTCTCGCCGAGTAAAAGTGGTGGTGAGTTTGCAAAGGAATGTTAGCTACTGGTCATACCCTCCTCCGTCTCTATACCAAGGCACTAAGAGCTATCTACCAACAGCCGCATCGAAGAGGAATTTATGACGCCCTCGTTCTCGATTGGATGACTGTCTTCGCGAAAGCAATACTCTCCGGACTGAGGCCAATGAACTTCGACACGATTTTCATTTTATTGAGTCGCAAAACAAGAACCTGCATGACGATGTAATGCAAAAGTGAGATGGTATCGCTGAAGCAATACAGACATTGAGCTCGTTGAAAACAGATGGAATTGGGATGACACTTCACACCCATGGCAGCCAATCACCAGCCATCTGTAACACGCGATGGATCACCGATGTGCGCTGAGAGCCCCCGGAATATTCTATTTGCCATGTATTGCTTAGCGTGTATACCTCCAGTAATACGCGCTACCATTTGGCAACAGGCTTGTCCAGATTCAAGCCGTCGTGGATGTTTTAGAAAAGAAAACATATCAATAACTTTTGAAGGTTCTCGAATGTGTTATAGCAGTCTCGAGCCGGGTGCTTGAGGAACACAGTTTCCGAATGATATATGCTTAGGCCAATGTCGCATGTGTAGCTTATGTGGATGATAGTAACATGCATTGTTTGCTTCAATGGATTTCACTTACGATTGCTATGTTGTATTTTGAAATTTTCACTCAATGAGATATTCGACCTATTGAGGGTAGAATGGATAGTCAACTTTGTCCAATCAACGACAGGCTTGGGATTGTCAATTTCTAGTTGTAGTATGGTACTTTATTCAAGAAGAGCTGAGTGAAAAATCACCGATCCTCGTCCGATAATCTTCTAACTCTGTCCATATCAGACTCACATCCTACTAGCTGCATCAGCCTCGTAGCCAAACGCCCGACCGCCCATCAAACATGGAATGTGGTCTAACGATCATCTTGTCTCATGACACATCGTCGAGTTCCCATCGCAGTATCAAGGAATTTTCCGGCTTATGGTAAAACTATTGTTTGGTCCGAGCATTAAGGATTCTTGCGTCTGTCATGCTGGGACACTTGATTAATACCCCATCTAGCAAGAAATGCCTTCATAGTTGCGCTAGTTTTGAGAAAGCAATGGTCGATGGATGATACTTATCAGTCGAAACTCATATGTAAATACAAGTAACGTTTGTTGCAAATCCATATTTCTTTGCGGACGTCAGTTTAAGAACCGCGAGAACGCCGCAGTTTCTTGGGTCAACCTACGGAGCGTCGTGGAAGCTGGCGACACTCGCAAAGTAATATTTCTTGATAGATTATACTGAGCCCTATCGCATCTGGGTGCTATCTCGGGCCGAATGAACTTTATCATGAGATAGCGTTGTCTGCATCAAGGTACATCTTTGTGCGGACCTGTTGATCGCGTACTTCACGATAAAACGGCAGGTACTTTGTGCGTCGCTCTCATGCTCAGTCCTCAATATTTGGGTTTATGATCCTAATTTTGGCACATCTGTTGGGCAGGAGGGAGAGCATTCATTAAATTTCAAGTCTGCGCTTGGGCCTCCACTTAAATCAAATATTATCTTCTGGATAGTCACTGCCGATAATTCTTTCACCATTTCTACATCGCATTGGATAGTTGCTCATTCTACAATCAAGCAGACTGAGAATGGCAAATAATCACAAGCCTTCTGGAGAGCAGTCAGGCCACAGGTCTGACGAAGTACAGCCGCGTGCTGCACCATCGTGTTATTCCTTTCGGTCTACTGCCTCCAGATCCAAAGATGACCGGAACCCTCTCAAACCGGTGACTAGGTCGCACGAGCATACGGTACCAATCTCTACCTTTTTCCCATATACCCTGACTCTTTTGTAACCAGCACTGTGCTCTTTGTATCTCTTATAGACTATATGGACGCAGATGTTTATGGACTGGGTTTACAATCACCACAACGGTCATCGAAGCAGTCAAATTCTGACGGGAGTTGTTGTTTTTTTTTTTTTTTTTTTTTTTTTTCCAGCGGACTGCTGACAATGTATTCAACAATAGGGGTAGTTGGTCAGGTAAACTAACTGATCAATCCTCATGATTTTGAGGGCTAGAGATGAACGCTTGTTGAGGATATATATTTCAATTAGACACCTCTTTCCCTTTCGTTGAACGCCTTAGAAATCTGACAAATGAAATACTGTAGAACCTATGGCCATCAAAAAAAGAAGTTCAAAAAGAAAACAAAAAAACCCTTGGTGTGTCTTCATGATCTAGTTCGAAAATTGAAAGCTGTCAACGGGTTGACCGACCGTGACCTCGCTTTCCGCAGTCCAAACGGACAGATCGACAGCTCAACACAACCAACACCACACTAACGCGAGGCTAGGGAAAAAAATCCATTACTTCTCGGGATAAACTCACAGGCCTTTTTCGGTAATTCAACGTTGAATGGCTCACAGATGAGGTATCAGAACAAGAAATATGAGCCTGTCATTGCGGATTGAAAAGCACGCAGTGCCTTAAATTTAGAGAGCCGTGAAGGATTCGGCAGTGAGCCAACAATTCTTGACCGACTCAGCATCGTTATTTTCAACACCACCATCGCTCGTCTTTCTCGCCGAGGATCTAAAGGCATCAAAATGTCGCTGCAAATAGTCGCTGCAATGTTCAGTTGAAAACAAAGAAATCATAGCGAGGCTAGACAAAAACTGATCACTACTTCTCCAAATAGGTGGGTCAATTGATCGGTGTCAATCACCATTTTCAAATTCTTCAAAATGGCACTGGACTATGGTTCACCAGTCACGTTTTTTCGTGGGATCTTACTACAACATTAGGAGATATTTGCATTCTTGGAAAAGCCAAAGGGAGGGAACTACCGTACGAGCCGAGTGCCTGAGCTGCCTGTAACACGATTCAAATTGACAGAAAACACAAAGAGATAAAATCAGTGCAATAAACACAATAACAGGGCTAGCAATGGCTCTGGTCAAGAAAGTGGCTGAGAAGTCAGACATTATAAATTCTAGTAGGAAAATGCGGAGAGATGGTTAATTTAACACTATTTTATTACATGGAGCAACTAGTTGAGAGAAAAATCGTAACAAACATGCAATTAAGTGATGGCAGGGAGAGTGGAGTGTAGATTCGTTGAAAGAAACAATCTGCCATGCTGAGGTCTGAAGTAAACAGTTATTTGTATTTACTCCTTTTGCACGCCAATAAAATGCTCTAGTATCTCAACATTGCGAAATAAAATGAACTGTAGTCGTCATAAGGACAAAATAAATCCTAAATTATCTTGGATCAGGTGATACAGGTTTTGCGGTTCAGTATACTAAGTTCAAGTCATGATGTCAACTCCGTGAAGTCAGTCATACTTTTTTTTTAAGTCCTTCCATATCACGATTGGATCTGTTAAGCTGCCTGTCATGTTCAAATTTCAATCCAGCACCTTTTTTGTTCCTAATTCATTTTTTTAAAATTTATGTTCATAGATAGCCTTCCCATGTCTCTTATTACATCCCTTTTGACAAGGGTTGTACTAATTTTCTCCCTACTTCCGGCTGTCCTTGCCTCGCCTTTATTCGAAAAGCGAGCGAATGGTTCCTGGTTGGGACTGGATACTGAATTCCCCGACCCTAGCTTCTTGCATGCAGCCGATAACAGATGGTACGCCTTCGGTAGCAACGGAAACGGCAAGCGTGTTCAAGTCGCAACCTCAGCCGACTTCACAACATGGAAGCTGCTAGACATAGAAGCCCTCCCACAATCTCAAATTGGGAAACCGATAAAGACCACTGGGCGCCCGACGTTATCCTGAGGGCAAGTGTCCCCTCGGCTTCCGGAGGCAACCACAATGGAAAGCTGATTGTTGATAAATCATCAGGACGACGGAAAGTATGTAATGTACTACTCCGGCGAAGACAAATCGAGCATCGGGCACCACTGCGTCGGCACAGCCGTTGCAGACAAGCCAACGGGGCCGTACGTACCAAGCAAGATGCCTCTGTCGTGTCGCCTCGACCAAGGTGGAGATCAATCGACCCAGCGGGCTTCAAGGACAAGGACGGCAGCCAATACGTCGTCTTTAAAGTTGACGGCAACACGATTGGACACGGCGGCATCTGCAACAACGGCATTGAGCCACTTATTCCCACGCCAATCTTGCCGCAGAAGGTTGCCAAGGATGGTGTCAGACCCATCGGTGATGCAGTGCAGATCCTCGATCGTAACACTGCAGATAATGATGGGCCGCTCGTTGAGGCCCCAAATCTCATTTTACATGGCGATACGTACTTCTTGTTCTATTCGACGCATTACTTTTTCGATCCCAAATATGATGTGCGCTGGGCGACCGTTTCGAGTATCACCAGTCCCTATAATAAACGAATGAGTCGATGGTGAAAGCTCATAAGACTGGTATTATCTCACCTGGTGGTGCTACCGTTTGTGGCAGCGGGGATCGCATGTTGTTACATGGGTTCTGCACTGAGGCGAAAGCCAGTCGGTGTATGTATGTTGCTGGTGTTACCATAATCGGGAAGGCGGCTTCTGTTGCTTAAAATACTGGTCATTTGGTTGTTCTTCGGGCTGTGTCTCCATTGCACTGGAGCTTTGGTTTTGCGTTGGGTACTAATGACCCTAGGATCTTAGATCCTATCGCTTGTCCGCCTTTGCGGCCCCAGCACCATTGTAATCAACCCTCTGCGTTCACACGAGGAATAATTGAAGGGCAAGCCCATTTGATGATGATAAAAATAGGTAATTTCTAGCGACTTCCTCCTTGTAAAATTGTTTGGGGGTTTCCCTTGAAGCATTATTCGAAACTGGCTTTTCCTTCGTTCTTTATCTCTCTTTATTCAGAATCAAGCCTCAGATATCTACCTTGTTTTTCAAACAAAAGAGCCCTAAAAACAGCTAAGAACGAATATGAAAAGCTGGGTTATGATTATATAAAGATGTAAAATTAGTAGATTTTGTGTTACGCCAACCATACAACGAGGTATAGACAATGCGGAGGAGTTGCCTATGGACCACTGGAATCGCCTATTGATACATTACCTCGCTTATCTGCTTGCATATGCACAGAGGGAGCCCCTAGAAAAGGAGAGGCTAAATCCTTTTAGGAGGACTAGAGATTAGACTGAATATAACCATACTCATATCAGGCACATCTCACATTCTTCACTCGTATCCATATTATACCAGGACGCCCCCAGGGGACTGTCCTAACATTTTGGCAGGAAGCTGAAATATTAAGGTTGATGGATCTAGAGACCCGGAGGTGAAGGAAAGACAAGAAAATTTGATAAGATTTTGCGGCATCTGGTCACCGTCGCCCTCTCTTCCTTCTGCTCTTATCTAGTACCGAAAAAGCACTCAATTTACTGTATCTACCTAAAAAGACTCTCACTCATTCTGCCTAGAGGGCTCTAAGAAGCTTTTACATTATGGTAACCCTGCTTCAAGCCTGTCTATAAGTAAGGACCGTCGTAAGATAGGTCATTCCGATGTCATTATTCATGTTACGTTCACTTATACATCTTAGATACCTGCTCATTCATATGAACCCAAGAAGGGTTGCAGAATCCAGTTTGTTTAAATCGCCGGCAATAATATGGGGCTACTATCCGCGGTGTCTCCAATTGCACAAGCAAGTGAAACGCGACGTAGAAGCGAGCAAGCTTCTTCGTGCCTATTTACAGGAAGCTAAGGGGTTATGTCCAGTCAGAATTTGGAATAAGAAGTGGCTTGGCGGTACGTAGGCCCAAAATTCTGATTCGGTAGATTCTTATATTTCATCGGTCTAGGGGTCTATCACCGATTAGATAATTTGCAAGGTGAGGGTTCGCGCCAAGGTATGCAGTTTGACGAACGCGGCGCGAGGTTACTGGTGACGAGAGAATGATGTTGAAGCACCTGAATTGTCCTGCGCATCATATATCAGTTTGACCGTGTCTGTGACACGGGGCGCCCCAAACTTTTACCTCACAAGTAACGAGCAAACTAGGTTGCCCTTGATGTCTCGGCCCTGCCCCAGACCTTGTCTCAGGGATAATTTCAGATTCATCGGTTTTTGATTTGTTTCAAGTCGAAGCTTTCAATATTCTTGTTTCTTTTGGTTTTAGAGCTATAAAAATCTTTTTATCAATACCAATATTAATGCACAGCCTATGCACCCTGGAGGGTGCACTTGCAATCAAAAGAGCATAGCGTTAAAATAACACGAACATAGGATTTGATTGAATATAGTCACTGAATTTAATTGCAGTAAATGTTTCTTGCATCACACGACGCGGTGTACATAGATTTCGGTGCCAGCAAAAAAGAGACATCAGGCCAGTGAATCCTAGAAATTCGTCAAAAATGGAGCCGAATGTTGGTGGCAGGAAAAATGAATTTTCAAACCAATAAGCCTCTTTCTGTTGCTCTTCTTCTCTGTCCATTGGTTGGGAAATTCTCTGTTATGAAGATCGTCTTACTTCCAATCATGTTGCCGTGGATTTTTAATGGTAGAGTTTTATGAACTAGTGTCCCTGGTCGGTAGCTGAGAGGCGGATCTCGAATGAAAATCGACATCCAAAGCTTATGAAAGAATAAATATTTGTATTGAATGCGAATTGACTGCGGACGAGTGGTGGGGATGATGGGACTGTTTCTCTGAACCTTGTGCTGCTAGACGTTACATCTCCAAGTCATACCTCACTCTGATAACCATGATTTAAAGCGAGATAGTTTTGACGGTGCCACGGGTCTCCATCGCCCGTTGCAAGATAAAGGGCAAAGGCGAGACATAAAAGAAGCTAGAAGGGAACCCCTCAACAATGCGCTATAAGTAGAGAAACCCTTTGTTCTCCTATCACGCAAAGATCCAGCCACGTATTGATCCTAATAAGATTCATTATGCTGCGATCCTTTTTGCATTGCACACGACGAATTGCGAACAAGGAAGAATGATATGCATAATTTCAATTTGCCAAATAAAATTTGCATTTGTTGTTCACGGTGTTACAAAATGCGAATATGAATATCGAATATTACTGACTCTGGCGATCATATTCGAAAATGCCTAACTGCCTATAACTTACTGATATAATGCAACCAAGTAGGATTGCGTTGCAATTTAAGTGAGGCTTGCTAACCCAGTGAGTGATGCACCAGCAGGTAGAGTACATGTTCTCCCATCTCTGATTACCGGTCGCGACCAAGCGATTGAACAAGTCATCTCGCTCCGGTATTACTGTCAAACTCCAAGTTCTTTCTTCCTTATCCTCGATCTCTAAGCTTGCTAGCAACTTCTGGTCCGACGAAAACGCAGCCACTGCCTCAATTGCCGTGTTTACAGAGGCTGTTGCTCTCTTCACTCGCTTCATATCACTCACGGCAATGTCAAACACTGGTTCCAGCTTTCTAAAGCTCATCAACTTTGCTTCATCGCGCGTGAATAACAGGCTTGGTCTAGAAGACTCTGTAATGACTGCCCAGCCATGTTTCCCCTCAGATCGACATTGGTATACGCTCGGCCCAGCATAGATGATGCCTTTTTGTCTTAGGCAAAACCCCCAAGTGGCCTTTCGCCTTCTGCGAACCAGTGGCAGCCCGAACGTGATCAATGGCCAGCTTCGTCTCGACGATAGATTGAGCATTGCCTTTGAAGAAGCGGACAATCTTGGAAAGATGTTTGTGATTTGGCTTCTCTTCATCGTCGTCGCCGTGGACTTTCTCGACGATCGAAGGCATGGTCGCATCAAGCACGTCGGAACTGGTGGCACCGAGAGGTATGTTCTCAGCTTCAATGGGATTTTGATGATCCGGGTCATTGTGGTTGGAGGTATTTACAGGAGGAAGAGGCGTTTTGTGTGCTTCGCCGATACGAAGAAGAGTTATTGCAATCTGGGAGTTTGTAGGGACGCCGCGAAGAAAATTGCTACTTGTAGTCAGCATTGGAGCGAACGAGAACTGAGAAGACTGACTTTTTCGGTTGTGCAAGCTCCTTGTACTTGGGCACGTTTCGTTTGAGCCAAGCTATCGTAGGTGTTAGCATTGGATCGCCGAAAATGACGAATCCAACGAGACACCCAATCCCTTTGTATACCATGTAATAGTTGACGAAAAGAGATAGGAGAAATAAAGGGGCAATGTCAGCCACTATTCTGATGAATGCAAAACGAGCAAATGACGGTGTTGGTAAAAGCGCGCTGGAGTTGTGTCAGTAGAAGAATTTGAGGGGAAATAAAGACATATTTACCTCGCAAATCTTTCCCAATTATCAGCCAGCTCTCCGATCACTTGTGGTGCAATGTCAAGAATGTTGGCAATAGTTTCTGGATTGACTCCGGCCCATATAATCTCTTCCATCGGCTGTTGAGTTTGATCGATACTCTTAGTAACATGTCCTGGTGCAGAGCCTGCAGATTGGACAGCTTAACTACTTTGCTGATAGGCTTCGGTACCTTCCCTTCCAGTGGATCTCCATCTCCATCCTGTTGTTGGCTCTTGTGCATTCCGACAGCTCTCTGAATATTGTGTCGGACCTTGTCGACAAAGTTGGCTGCTTCCTCTTCGATAGCTTCATGCGGCTGCTTTTCCGGAGCACCGATGAGTGTATCGTTGGTACCTAGCAGACCTGCTTGGGGCTTCTGAATCCCTCCTGTCCTGATATTCACCAGAGCACGCGGTGCTGATGGAAACAATATGTTGCGAACTTCCACCGGAGATACTACCATTATTATTATTCCAAGAGCAAGCGGCATCAATAGATCAAATAGCCATGCAGCGAAGTATACCTTGAAAAATTAAGATCAGTACGCTTCTTGTCTGGAAACTTTAATTCAGGAGCGGATCTGTGGCCAACGCACCGCACAGAACATTGATGTACGACAAGTCTCCTTCCAGGAACGAAGTCGTGAAATTTGTTTTCCAAGGCTCGCGATGCCAAGAATCACGGTCAAATAAACTCGTTGCAGGTGCAGACCTAGCTTATCCCCGGCGTGATCTTGAGACCATGCATCATTGAGGTCGAGACCACATGAAGTTTCAATAGACACCGCTTTGACATCGAAGACATCCTGATCAGTCGAAATTAGTCCTACGAATATATGGTCGGGACCAAGAAAGCCCCACCTTGTTGAAGCGTCGGATGAATGCAAAAAGCTCTCCGTTGGTGTAATCACCAATCATAGGATCGGGTATCTCTAATTTAGCTTTATGTCAACCAATGTCTCTCGCCAGTTCAGAATACTCGCTACTAGGATATTCTTTCTGGATAGCACCTCGGACATCCGGTATCTCGTGTGCTAGTTCATGGCTGTCCGCATTGAGATCCTTCTTCATAGTCTCTACTGGGCCTTCAATCAGTGTATATGCCTGATGTTGCAAGGCAGCCACCATAGTGGAGCTATTGTTGTCATGGAACTGGATGCCTGGCAGTGTCTTTGGGTAATCGAGGTTCCGGTGAACTTGTGAAGTGATCAGGTCATTAGACGCGCCAACAAGCCATAGGCTTTATGTTGTAGATTAGCCAGCATAGTCGGAGAAGTATTGGTATGATCATCAACGCATGGTGGGGTCTCAATTTGGTCCCGCATTCTATCAGCCTGGGACGCTGGCTGGCCACTAGAGCCGCCAAAAAACGCACACGTTTTATCATGTGATGTTTGCATCATCGCCGGAGCGACATCGTCATGTACCTGGTCATACGATTTAGTGTGAACTTGATCGTGCCCGTCGATCTCACGTAGATCCTTGTGGCCATTTATAACACCATTCAGCGCATGGAAACTCTCCTTCGGGGTTTGCACTATAAGATTGGTGTCATCAACGTGAACCCCGGACGTTCCATGGTCATCGCTGTGTCTTGCATTTCGAATTACGGGTGGATTATCGTGGGTAATGATACCATCGATCTGACTTTGCGTCTCATCAAGATGTGATGCGGCAACTTCATTGCCGATTGGGTCTGGCCGGTATTGAAGATCGGTGCCTTGCTTTACCTGAGTATATGTCTGCAGGTCGAGTTGCTGACTCTGTTGTGCTAGGCCTCGGTTTGCGTGCTTATCGCTCGCTGGGGGTGCGATTTCCGACGAATCGTTGACGTCATAGCAGGCTTTGTTTGACATGATCAATGCTACGTTGCTGTCTCCGCGATTGTCAGAACGAGGATGGTTCAGCCTTTTCTGCAGGGAAGCTCGCAATCGGATTTTCACACCTGTTATCGGCCCGCACCTCTAGTCAATTTCTTCACCTGAGGTAGGTTGCGTGGCTTCAAGCGACGGTGCCGGGAATAGTGTTTAAGCCATGGCGGCTTTGTGTAGAGTAGTACCGGGGATGCTGTATCCTCGGAACCCTCTGGTGCGATGTCAATGGCTCACTGCCATTCATTAGCTTGTAAATTCGCGACATAATCCATGACTCAAATGTTCTGGTGGCCAAGACTAGGGGCAAAGAGACGGCAAAGAGCTGTGGTGCTTGCCCTCGTGCATTGTGGTCGAATGTCCTCGGTTCTATTGAAAGTGCATCGTCTTCAGGATCAGTAGAATTCAGACAGGTCAAGCTAAGATTCACATACCTGCGACGTGGTTATTCGAGCTTTCTCTTGGGAATGCAAACACGAGCTGTACAGTAGATGAGCTCAGTCGGCTGCTGTGGCGGAGACCTCGTCACACGGACAATTGGACCAGCTAACTCAAAACTCGTATCTTCGATCGGCTGGGGCGAATGGCAGTGTATCTGGTGGGAATCATATCTCTCACGGGCACTGTCTGACTAGCTGGTCCACGATGTATTCTATAAATGTCAGGACAGTGGAAATTTCAGTACCGGGTCAATGGGGAAGAACTTATCAAGTGACTCAGACACAAGCCTGCTCATTTTTGCAGAGTCAAGGGGATAAATCATAGAGCAAGTTGCTGGGGGTAGAGGACGTCTTTATAGGCTTCTCGGCTTCTGTCAATTAGAAGCTGTGCAGGCAGCATTAAAGAACACCTGTCCTAGTTGGGCCCTGTTGAAACCCACGTCTTCTTTTTATCGCAACTATTTGCAGCGACATCTTCTGCCTTTGGATGCTCAGCGAGAGAGACGACCAAGAGTCGTGTTTAGCAACAGCATGCTGAGTTGGTCAAGAAGCGTTGGCAGGCCGTTGGATCCTTGACGGGCCTCTTAAAGTGAGGCACTAAATACGATTTAATCCGCAATGACAGGCTCATATTTCTTGTTCTGATACCTCACCTGTGAGTGACTCAACGTTGAATCACCGAAAAGTGCCTACAATTTTTTTCTTCTAGCCTTGCTTCAGTGTGGTGTTGGTTGTGTTGAGCTGTGGGTCTGTCCGACCAGACTGCGGACAGCGAGGTCACAGTAGGATGTGCACGACCCGTCAACCCGTTGAAGCTTAGCCCAACGTTGTCAACACTCAATTCTCGAACTTGTGAGCATGAAAATACACTGCATAAAAAGTTTGTTTTATATTTTGAATAACTTTGTTTAATGACGATAAGTTCTACAATAGTCGATTTGTCGGACTTCTGAGGCGTTCAACGAAAGGGAAAGAGGTTTCTGATTGAAATAAATATCCTCACCAGGCAGGCGTTCATCTCTGGCCCTCAAAACTGTGAGGATTGATCAGTTTCCCCGACCGACAATCACTATTGTTGAACACACTGTCAACAGTCCGCCGAAAACTAACAAAGCTTTTGTCATATTCTGACTGCATCAATTAACAGTTGTGGTAATCGTTAAATCCACTACATAGTTGCCGGCGTCTGCAAGAGACACTAAGGATCGATGGAAATTGTATTAAACAGACCGTTGACTCTCTCCTGCGGACATAATGGATGCCCAGAACAGCTCGCCACACCAGGAAAAGAAGGAGAGCAGCAGCCCAGTGAATTACCCATCCTTGATGGGAAGAAAAATCACAGGAACGTTCTGACCATGTCCTATTGGTACGTGGATCAATTCGGCATCAATTACGTTTGCTGATAATTGCAGCCCTTCCCTTCGCAGCAGAAAGCAGATACAAGACACACCCTGACGACCGAGCCGTTTCAACCTGTTCTGAATGTACTAGCAGACCTCGAGCGCGACGATCCCGAGTTCGCCTTTCCAGCAGCCCGACTTGTCGGACTCTATCGACGCCTATGCGAGTCATGCGTGTCCAAGCACATCGATGGCCAGAAGCTAGAACAGAGCAATCGTGTCTTGAAGGAGGCTGACACACCGGAGAAAAGAGAGGGACGGTCTTCAGCTTTGCCATGACAAGCGGCTATCACGGCTGCGGTTTTTCGAGCAGGCACTGGAATTATCCTGGGAGAGGCTGATTAGCGTCCTCGATGACTGGAATCACCCTCCGAGACTCAATCTGGCAGGGTTACTGGACAATGCAAGAGGAAAGTGATGGACTGTCCCTCGGGGGTAACGTGCCCTATTTTATCAATATAGAAATACTACAGTTGACTTGGCAAAATCAAAAAGACCTACCACTCAGGATTGGTTCAGAGATTACGGCAAGAAATAGCCTCCAATTCAATTTATGTTTATTTTCAAGTGTTGGCGGATAATTTCACGCCTTCTGGGTCGGCAAGAGAGTTCTATCCAAACTGCCTCACGACGTATTAAAACCAGCTCGTGTATATCTTAATCAACAAACATTGTTCAATTGACTCTAGGAACCAATACAACAATCCTAGAAGCGTCAAAAACAATTCTAGGAGCTGGCAGTCTCCTGGGAACTTCTCTTTAGCTCCTGGGGCCAGTTACCGTTTCTAGAAATTTCAGTTCTGCCCCTAGGTACTTCGCTCTGCGATCCTGACTGAATAAGAACTGGCTTTCGGAACAAATTGGCTAGATCTGAGAGCTGTTCTGCTCCTGGGACCCTACTTCTGGATCTAGAGTCGAGTCGACTATAGCTCTCTTTAATCTTGATCCCTGATCTGTTTACGCTGTCCTCATCTACGTATACGTGAGACAAGTGGCGAGTAGTCATCGAGTTGGCTATGTAAATGAAAATTCCTATGCGCAGCGAAAGAATTACTGGCAAGTTTATTAACTCATGAGCCTGCAATTACTGTCTTAACATGCGCTCGTTAACATGAACATATCATGGGCAAAGACCGTAAATGAGGCCGCCATTACAAAGCAGCTGCCGCATGCCCTGGCTCGTTTGATAGCTTCCGTCTTTTCTTTTTGGCACGTTGTCAGTCATAGGAAACCTAGAATTTTTCTCTGCACAGGTAACAAGATCCCAAGGGAATTGAGTTAGGGGGCCAATATGCTGAACAGTGCGGTCATGTGTGGATTCATATGAAAATCCTCAATTAGCTCGAGACCCATGTGGCTGAGCTGAGTGGCCTTCATAGTTTTTAAACCTTAGTGGTGAAACACGCCGATGCAATTAAACCAGCCATCTGGCCTCGGGTAATATATTGAAAACAGTACAGCGGGATAAGCCAAAGACAGTGAAAATGACATTCAACAGTAGCGTGTAGTAGAGGGCCTGCCACCCAGCTTCTTCACGGTGACCAGCTCCCAATGATTCCTTCGGGGGCTGCACTGGCGGCTCATACATTATGACCCCGAAACTGTAAAAATGACTTTGAAATTGTTGCTCGGGGGATGTTGTGGCATACAGACAGAGTACCATAAGCTCGGGCGGCTTTTGGTCACAAGTTCGTCGCAAAACCATCGAGCAATTTCCAAAAGACTTCAATCCGCTTTTACAATGTCAGTAGACTCTCCGGGTTCAGCGTACAAAGTCGCGCAAGCAATACTGTTTTTGGACTTACTGACTTGGAAAGTACCAGAATCGATACGTCCCTCGATAACCATCCCAGTATTTGTGATTGCTCCAAGTAAGACGCGGAGTTGGTACTGTCCTGTACGGTGTACGGCTAGGTCTTTGAACGCAGCGAATCCCATATGTTGATCCGAATGAAACTGTACATCCGAAGTTAAATTGCCTCTAAGCCCAAGTGTGCGGGCTGAGGCTTCTCGATCTATGAGAGATACGTTGACAGCAAACGCGTGCGGCAGTTCTTTTGTAAGGCTCTGGGAGTTTTTGAACAATACCAATATGGAAACGGTAAAAGGCGATCCTTGCCGAATGATGGGTGGGGGTTCTCGTGAGAGTATGACATTCCCGTCACCAACAAAAGAGGGGCCTTGTCCATAAATAGACTCTGACATCGTTTCTTTTCCTGTCATCTTGAGCGGCTTCGCTGTTCCAGGTAATCAGGAAAGAGAAGCCGAGAATCACATGGTTAGTAAGGTCTAGGTCCTTACCTTGTAAATTGTCCTATATCATAGCCGGTTCAGTCTTCGTTATTTGGGGCTGTTGATTATTTCCAAAAAGGAAATGCGATAGTAAAGAGAGAGATTTATGTATCTATATAACACGGATAAAGGCAGGAAATGTTACTTTTGCATATGACCCACTCCATCTTGATTGTGGTCAGCTCAAGCTGAAAGACCGATCGATGATCATCTATGCGCTAGTCAAAAAAATAGTTCATACCACATTTTGGATGAACAGTTGCTAATAGGCTAGCAACTACACGTTAAGTAAAGCGCTACAAAATGCATATTGGTTTACTTCCTGCTCCAAAGGTGCGGGCGTATAAACCAGATTGCAACCAACATTTGATAGCACATCATATCCTGAAAACATGTAAATAGCACCACTTTGACTTGAAGTTTACATTG